TGGGCGCTCCTGGGTTGGCAGAGACGCCGACGCACGAAAACGAAGAACCTCGACTCCGAGACGAGACGGAGAAACAAGGCCGCTCGAGGAGACCAACGCCGCGAGGCTCCGAGCGGGGCACCGCCTCCCGCCCCCGACACCCAAGGACGACGGCCGCACGGGCAACCGGGGGTAGAGCATAGCACCCAACACACGCGGGCGGGTAGTGCCCTCCAGATTTTGGCTTCGCGCCTCCTCGAAGCCCGGCCCTCGCCCTCGCTCGCCCCCAGAACAAAAAACCCCCCTCGAAAAACCCGAAAAAAGAAGAAAAAAAAAACTCACCACCACCGCCTTATCCGTCCCTGCATTCCTCTCCCTCTCCACAGTGGGCGACGTCGGCGACGTCGGCTCCATACCCAGTCGAGAAAACGCCACCTTCGGCGAGCTGGGCGCGCTGCTCCCCGGGAAGAGACTCGACAGACTCGCGAGCAGGGCGGGGAGGGGCGTGCGTGTGCGTGTGTGTCGGGGGGTGGAGGGTCTACTCGCGCTGTTTGAAGTAGGGGTGTGTGGGTGTTGGCTGAAGTAGGAGTGGTGTGCGCGGTCGAGGGGCTGGTGGTATAGGTATTGGTGTAGGTACCCGGGGCCGGGCTGGGCGTATTCGAATCCACCTTGTGCGCGTTCGGGGAAGGCGAATGCGGCTCTAGCTCGCCGTCGTCGTCGCTCCTCAAACTGGACCGGCTGGGGATGGGCGACAAAAGGCCTAGGCTCTGCGTGTGTCTGTGGCGCGCGCGGCGCGTCCGTGGGCTTGCGTTGCTCGTCTTTGGATTTGGACTCGAGGTGGTGGTATGCGTATGTGCTACAACGTAGTCAGCGTCTGCTCTCTAGTCTCGTATACGCGCTCGCATATACGCTCGCAGGCGTAGGCGTAGGCGTAGGCGTAATGCAAGGAAAGGGGCTCACCCGGCTCGTCTCCGTCCTGCATCTCCATCCTTCCTTCTTCCTTCAAATATTCCGCTTCTTCCTTCAAACAATACACCGAAGTTCCTCGCGAGTCGCGGATAGATATCACAGATGTATCGTTTAGCCTGGCTGATCGTATGTGTTATGTAGGCGAGGCGAACGGGGCGTGGTGTGCCGCACACGAGGCTCCTTTGCTTTTGTGTTCTGTACGCCGCTGCGGCGTGCGTCCCACAGATAGTCCTTCCCTAGTCCTCGTTCTCGTTTCGCGGGTCAGAGAGCAGTGCGAGTGGCGTCCTAATGTAGGGGTGTGAGACAATTTTTTCGGGACTTGGTTGCCCCTAGTTGCCCGTGTTTACTCTTTGCGGTTTATTGGGGTTTACGTCACGTCGCTCTAAGCATCTTCACTTAGCACTTACTAAGCTTTTCAACGCTTCAACCGGGGTAAGTTATGTGACAGAACAGACAGATGATGGTTACCGCGTTACCGTCGCGTCACACCTCTCTTGCCGTCGTGGCCGAAATTACAAATACCCCAAAAGCCGGGAAAATAAATTGGGAAAGGGCAGTGCGTCACCGCTGACGGATGTGGCTGCGCGTGGTTACGCCCCGTCGTTAGGTCTTCACAAGTTTATTCGAGTTTATTCGACGACGGGCTCTCTTTTTCTACTTAGAGGACTCGGAACGCAGACCAAAAGAGAAAAGGGCAGCATCGAGGGTCGTACGACCCACAAATTAAACGTGGCGGTGTCGGCGATCAACGTCCGTCTGCCCTTTCTTTGCAATTGCTCTCAGCCCTGTGCTCTGAGCTCCACATCACAGTTCCGGCGGGCCCGGGTTCGGCCGCGGGTTCGGGTTCGGTTCGGCATTTCCTAACCTTAACATCCAACGTGCTTGCTGTTTCGTTACTCTGTTTCCCAAGAGAGTTAGCTTCGATTACGGCGCTGTAAGGAAAGTAGGTACACGCTTACGGTTTAGGATTTTGCCTTCCCGCCGCCAGTACCCCGCATTGATTGGCTTGGATTGGGGACAGACAGACAAGACAGGCAATGACGCGCCGAATGTGTCTAGTCTTTTTTTGTGTCTTGTGTCTTGTGTAGACTTCGCATCTGACGCGAATCTTGATTTTTGGATTTTTATTTTTATTTTTTTTTGAGCGGGACAAGAGCGGGAGGATGGGTAGATGCAGAGTACATATGACGCGCAGATGATCTCATCCCATCCCATCTCATCCCATCCCATCCCGCCCTGGCACGTCGTCTTCAAAAAACCGTCTTCGAGAATGTTGGACGTCAGTCACGGTCAAGGACGTTCTGATAGGTTCTGATGCACCGTAAAGCTCATTTTTTTAGGCTCTGGCCAATATAGTACGCATATCGCATATGCATCCAGGCCATCAGATCCGCGCAGTTCAAGTTCAATGTTACCCTCCGAACCACAAACTAAATTTAAACTAACCTGCTGTACTCCTCAAGATAAATCCAAGTTCTTAGGCCTTAGGACGTCGACCCACCCACTCCAGCTCTCAATTACTCCTCGATCGAGATTCGAGAGCGTTACAGCCTAGGACCGCGACTTCCCGCATCAAGAGTGCGCGTATTCTGACTTGCTTCTTCGTCGTTCGAACCACAAACTACGCCTCAAATACGCCAACTTCTAAGTTCTTAGCCACTCGACCTCGCACGCACACGCACTCCAGCTCTTGTTTTTTGGAATGTTGGAGTGTTACAGCAAGACCGCGACTTCCTGCAGAAAGGGATGAATCGACTTGCGTCTCCGAACCACAAACTGACTCACCCACTCCAACTCTTACTCTCACTCTCACTCCCACTCTTAAAGTATACATACTTCCCGCAGCTTGCAAGAGTGCGCGTATTCTGCGATTAGGCTGGGGCTTCGAAGGGCTTCGCGACAGCAGCTTAACGTTAATGTGTCGAAGGACTTCACCAAAGCTTCACGAAGACTCCCTCCAAGGATGAACGACTACGCCGACTCCAAGATTCACGCAGTTGTGGTTGGAAGTTGGAACGTTAAAGCAAGGGTATTCAATCTCCACTCCACTCTACTCTATTAATATTCGGATGCGCAGTCTAATGGTTAATGTTCTGACTCGGACTTCAACTCAACATAACTCGGTATCCTACTCCTTAAGTTCAAGATACGAGATACATACACGCGCCAACTTCTTAGGCCCCACTCTTACTCTTCCCACTCACGGCCGGAAGCAGGACCGCGACTTTCCGGAATCCGCAGAACGGAAAGAATGCGCGTATTCTGCGATTAGACTGGCGCGAGTGCGAGCTTCGCGTTGACGTAGCTTAGGACTTCGCGAAGACTTCACGAAGACTCCCTCCCCGAGATCCACGCTTGTCACAGCTGGAGCAAGGTTGCAACGTTAAAGCAACTGTGGATATTTAATCTTCACTTCACACTATTAATAAACAATCGGGATCCGCGCAGTTTAATTTTACTTCAACTCAACTCGGCATGCAACTCATCATAGCTCGGTATTCTGTTGCGTCTACCCCTCACGCCCCAAGATACGAGATACGCCAGCCTCTCGACATAGCACCACTGACATCGCCAAGAAGCGAGAACCCCGCCCTGCGCGCATTTCGCCATTAGCCTGCCTGATCCGAGCTTCGAACTTCGCGCTTCGCGAATTCGAACCCTAAGTCGGTGAACTCCGAGTTGTCCGGGAGATTCTGCTTACGATCGACGTACGTCTTACCCAGGAGGTGTTTAATTTCCACTCTACTTCTGCGCAGTCGATCATGAAACACGAAACACGACGTGTTTTCAGCATGGAAATAGCATGGAATTGCTGCGCATATTCCTCGACTCCAACCCGCTCCGAGTCCACGAGACGCTCCGCGAGCTCCTCAGCCTAACCCAACCCTTGACCTTGGTTCGATCTTCAAACTGCAAACAATATTAATGATAGCAGCGTTAGGTGCTGCGCGTATTGTGACAGGACAGGCTGACCAAATTCTTTTTTTTGTGACTCCACCGCCCGCGCCTCAACCCCAACTCCAACACCAACCCCAACCAACTCCAACCCTTGCTTCGAACTTCTCGTACAACAACACCAACACCAACAACGGCCCTGAGGACTCCGACGCTTTCGGCCACGGTGCTGCGCACATTCTGCGACAGGCTAACTTGAACACGACATCTACACTGCATTTGAAAATTTGGACCCCGGTCCAAAATTCCCGTACCCCGTACCCGTGCTGGACTGCGTGCATTCTGCGATTCGATACAGCTAATACATAATTCCAACTCACAAGGGCGGAGCGGGCACGAATTTAGGACGGCCCCTAGTCAGGTCATGGGGAACCAGCTCCTACCGTGGACGTCTCGGGATCCGTGCGCAGTCGTGCTGCTACCTGTCGAACGTCAGCTACATCTACACTGCATTTAATAATTTAAAACAACCCGGTCCAAAATTCCCGTGCCCGTGCCCGTGCTGGGATGCGTGCATTCTGCGATACGCTACGCTATAGCCCATCTCTAACTCCAATCCATGACTTCAAAAGGGCGGTGCGGCGAGTCCGAGTTCCGTGCGCAGGCTTCGAGACTATCTATCTATTCTATCTTCAAGTCTTGGCAAGGGCCGCATACAATTCGCGCGATTTTCGCTGCAGTCCCTGGCGTCACGGTTGCGCCGATTACCGGATCTTGAGGACTTCACTCATAATCAGGCCGCTTGCCCCATCCCATTGCGAATCTCGGTCAGTTTCATACTTTCGTTTGGTCCGCAGACGATTCGCAAGTAAGTTTCTTGAACGAACGCCAAATTCATCTATTACATAAATGTATACGGTCTGGGTTCAGTTTTCACAGGAATATTGCGATATCCGCTGATTGTATTGATTGCTTTTTCCCGTCGAGTTCCAGTCCAGGTTTGACTAGTACTCAGGTTGGGCAAGTTGAATTCCATTCAGCGATCAGTGACCCAAACAAATGTTGAATTGCAAAAATCAATCAATCCCCTGAAATCCGAGTAGCCTAGCCATACAGTGAACAGCGCATGTACACCTCCAAGGATTATTAGAGATCATGGCCTGGTGGTGTGGCGGTAGCATCTCTCTCTTCATTAACTCCTGTGATAAAAGTATTGGGATGTCCCTTGTTCGAATCAAGGTCAGGTCATACCCTGGGTGTGGTGACATTTTTATTTTTCTCTCTTTTTTATTTATCTCTCGCATGCCTTTTGCAGAACAAACTGAGCGCCATCGTTTATGCACGGGTTTTAATTAATGGACCAAAGATGATACTGTACAGCCGAGGTTGGCTTCTGAAATATAATTGATCTATGCCCAGGGTTCAGGTTTCGGTGGGCAGGTAGGTAGGCAGGTATGCCAAGATATTGGAATGGAAAAACATCATGGTCCGGTGGTATAGTGGTAACACCTCCCTCTTCGGTATATCCTTTGCCATGTAAATAATGGGATGTCTCTTGTTCGAATCAAGGCCAGGCCATGGATTTGTTGTCACCTCCTTTTTTTTTTCTGTGCTTCTCTATTCAACGGTATCTTTCGAGAATTTTTATTCCCGATATGTCCAGAGTCAGTGATGCACAGGCGTCGATATCGGAATTTTCGCTTGAAATTGATGAGCTCGGCAACAGCCTGAATGGGCTTGCTTGTCTTTCACTTCCACCCCAAATTCACTCCAACGATTGCGCTGAACGAACTTGGCCACGGCAGCTTCGAACTGGTGCCCCTATTTTACTTGCGGGGATTGAATATTGAATTCCAGTGACGGGTCGATAATAGGCGGACATAGAACTACAGCAACCTGAGTCTCCACGGTGAGTCGGTCAGTCGAACAGCAGATTGGATTACTGACATGATCCTCCACGCTGCCTTACCCCTCAAAGACTTTGGTCGCTCTCCCTGTGTCTTGGCAAGTATCTACAATCTTGCAGTCCCAAACAAGGCGGAAAATATATCAAGACTTTATGGAGGAAAGATGAGTGTCACGGCATTTCTACGATATCAATGGGACTAGGAATGAGGGGACACTGGATAACAAGGATCGGACGATGTGGAACGAGTTCGAGGAGGGGGTTCAGTGCGATGAATGAACACGTCCAATTATTTACGCATGTGGTGGTTGGGAATGGAGGGACCCCTCCAAGGATATAACTGATTGAACGGTGTAGGCCAGCTACAAGAAATTCCGCACAATTCAATTGGAATAGCTTCTGCCACGCAAATTTCCTTGCCTTGAAAATCGCTGAATCGCTCCCCCGCACTCCGAGTCTGATGGGTAAGCTATGTCTCTGAACGGGGTTGAATAAAATCCATATAGCGCAACAATTCTGGCAAGTTGACTTGAGTCTTTAATATATTGAAGGCTCCGATTAGGTTCTGTATGATTGCAGTTGAATTATTAATGAGTCCGTCGCGGTAAATTCCTGGAATAAGGAATACAAATAAACCGTAACATATATGGTTCGATTCTGCAGGAAATCAACCTGCTAGGCTACGCAGGACGCTGGTGTTGAACCTTGGTTGAATTTTGTTGAGCGAGCACCTGCTTGTTCGGCAACAGGCAGGGCGAGTTGATTATGCGTACATATTTGAGCCAGTTCAAGTGCCTGAAGAAACACGTTAGCTACATGCATCCAATTCAGACTTGAATCTCACGGTATGTAAACACCCTCGATGTATGCAGCAAGGACACCTGAACAATCCCGCGTGCACTATACTCCTGCACCCGCGCGCGGATCGCATCCTCTATCGCGTCCATCATGGAGGGGCAGTGCACGATGGAGTGCAGCCGCCGTAATGCGATGAACTGCGGATAAGTCTTAAGCACATTATTCAAATGCGTCCAATCGAGGTTGTCGAGCAGTTCGAGAAAGTCAATGGAGAGGACGAGCGTGAGCGTGCTAATGGTCGAGTGCGGCGCGGCAAGGAGCGCCCACGGCGCATGCAGCGCGGCGGTGGCGGACTGGAATCGGCGGAGACTCAAATGGACAGTGAGGCGGAGTAGATTTGTGTTCTGTGAGAGATCGATATGGGTTCTGATGTTGTCTGAGACATTTCTGTTAGTTTATCGAACGGGACAAGGATATGAAACATCGAATGTACCTGCGGTAACGTGGTACATCAGCTTCAAATCGAGATCTAGCAGCTGGGGACCGAGCGCGCGGAGCAAGTTCCCGACGGATGGGAGACTTTGGGCATCCAGTATGCCAAGTTCCAGAACCCGAATGGGCTGGTTCGCGTGGAACCACGGAGCAACTTCGTTGAATGGAAGATTATTGTTTGGGGGGCCCAGCCGCAAGCGCAAATGTGCGAGGTTCCGTGGAACTTCGGGATAATGCGATAACTCGAACATAGTAGACTCGTGCTGTAGAAAAAGGGGATTTATGGACGCCTTTTGGAGCTGAGAAAAGCGCGAGACCATGACGGCCATATGGGGCGGAGAAAGGAATGTGACGAGGTGGAGGTCGAGTTCCACGATATTGGGAAACATTGCGACAAGTGAATTCGTGGTTGTTTCAGTGACGCCCGGCCAATGGCAATCTTCAAGCCGAAGACATCTCAATGCAGGGAATTCCCGAAGGACATTTGCCGGGAAACTAGGCTCTTCGTGGAATGTCCGCAGTAGAAGGATCACCCGGTTGAGGTTGCTGGATGAACTCGGTGGCATGGCATCGTAGTCATCGTAGTCAGAAACCGAAATAGCTAGGGAATTAATGGATTGAGCGAAAGTGGCCAGAGGTGAACCTAGAAGGTGGACGAAATCTTCCCAGTTGCGATCGCGCAAAGAAACCGATCCAAAGAGATGGTGCCGGCTCGAACGCAGCCAGGATTTGCTGACCAGACCACAGGTGGTTAGTGAATGCTTCTGATCGTGCAGGTGGTCGACAACAAGATCCTGGAGCTCTGGAGGAAAATCCAGTGAAGATGTCATTCTAAAAAGACTCAGTCAACAAAATACTCCAGAAATAAAGGGAAAATTACGCAGTGAATGAGAAAAGAATTGAGGAAAGCTTGATTGGAATCAGTCTTGCGTGTCACCGCTTTAAAGCCCTGCGAAGGCGCTGCGCCGCTGCTGACACCTTTTCAAATTGCACTGCGTTGAAAGCTACGGCGCAGAAGCCAAGCAGAATCCTCGACAAATCCGAAGGCGGCCAGACTTAAATCAAAGCGAGTCGAGTTGACTCACTGCGGAACCAAGTCCAACGCCGTCAAGGGAGGAAGAGAACTTTGACCAAGCATCCAATGGTGTGACTCGGACGTGACGGGACGTCACACGCGCTGTCGCGACGGTGTCATTGTCATCGCCACACTGTTCACTGTTGGTTCACTGCGTTATCCATCTTCGGCTGCTCTTGATATTAACTGGTGTGCCGAGATTTCTACGCCTGCTTTTTTCCCACCACCTTCCTCTCAAGCCTCGCATTACTTACTGTAATTCCAAGTCAATCCGTCCGAATCAGGAAAATGTTTCTCATCTGGCGGGCGCTGGTGCAGCTGGACGTGTAAGCCGGGCCTTTCGGAATCTTGGCTTATTTTCAATTTTCCCTCTTCTTCTTCAACTCTTCGTCTCAGAATACGTGACTATGCTCTCTCAATCCGCCTGCCGTCCCGCCGGCGTGAATAATCGATTCTTGGCTGCGCCGCCATACACCCGAATGGCTCTTATAAATGGCCTCAGATTGAAACGTATCTCGAGTCTTGAACGTTTGAACTCGCACGTATCTTGTTTGATTATCCAGCTGAGCTGATTTGCATCACGAGTTATCATTTCGCACACGGTTGACTCGGTGACCCTCTAGTATTCATTCTCAACTTGAAACCCCTTCAACTTTATCGAACTTCATCCTACGTTGACTCCGAGACCCTTCATGTTACACTGAGTCTTTTCTCCCACACAACCCCCCCGCGGTCTAATATTAGAGGACAGTTGCCGGTCCATTCCCGGCGGCTCCCACAGCACCATCTTTCGCCAAAACCTTTCGACTATGGCAGAGAAAACTGGCCAGATCGCGTACCACATTGGCGACGAAACATTCCACACAAGCTACAAAGTCTTTGGGGATCTCAAGTCGGGGACTCGCCCCCTGGTTGCGCTGCACGGCGGACCAGGAGTCCCGCACACGTACATCCTCCCCATAGCAGAGCTTGCCGCTTTGCGCGGGATTCCAGTTATATTCTACGACCAGGTTGGCTGCGGGATGTCGACCCATCTTCCCGACAAGCCGAAAGAGTTCTGGACAGTCGAGTTGTTCATGGCCGAACTCGATAACGTCCTCGCGCATTTTGGCATCGCCAACGACTTCGATCTGCTCGGACACTCGTGGGGTGGAATGCTTGCGGCAAACTATGCCATTAGCAGAAACCCCGGTGGTCTGAAACATCTCATTATATCGGATTCGCCCGCGTCGATGGAGCTGTGGGAGGTGGGAAACAACGTGCTGTTGGCCGCCTTCCCCGAAGAGTTCCGGGCAATGCTCAAGAAGCATGAAGATGCAGGCACGACGGAGAGCGAGGAGTATCAGAACGGCATCCAGCAGTTCTACGAGAAGCATCTCTGTAGGGTGAACCCGTTCCCGGACCTACTCGTGAAGTCGTTCGAAGAGCTCTCCTCCGACTCAACCGTCTACTCGACCATGTATGTGACTAGACATTTTTTCCCCTTCTTTCTTTCTCTTCTTGCATACTGAGTATTACATTCGAATATAGGAATGGACCATCCGAGTTCACCGTTACGGGCACGCTAAAATCGTGGACAGTCATCGAAGACCTCCACAAGATCACCATGTCCACGTTGATTATCAACGGGTGGTTCGATGAGGCGCAAGATATTTCGGTAGTCCCTTTCTTCGAGAAAATACCCAGAGTCAAGTGGGTGCAGTTCGCGGAGAGCAGCCATACGCCGTTCTTCGAGGAGAAGGAGAGGTATCTCCAAGTCGTCGGGGACTTTCTCACTATGTCTCAGCTTTAACCTTTCACTGTAAAGGAACATAAAGTTCCCTCTTACTCCTTCCTTGTACCTCCCCATGCCTGTTTTGAGTCACTCCGTAGAGGGAACGAAGTGGAAATGTTGGTTGAATTGTTGAGGGCACGTCCTGGCGCGCCCACCCGAAATGGCTTGCCTTCAATACATGAACCAGCGAGAATATCCGCATCCTTTTAGTGTTCTCGGACCGCTACAAAACCCAGACAGTGGCGAAGAAGAAGAATATTATGAGTCGAGCGCTCCACTTCCACTTGGTCGACTTGCATGATTGAGGACGAAGTTGGCCGAACGCGACGCTGCTGAAGTTTGGGAGGGAATAGGGAGCACCATAACCATAGGTCGATCAAAATTAGAGCTCAGCCACCTAGGTACTCTTTAGTAGACTCGTCACCAGTCTGCCGTCCATGGCAGACTGGCGACGAGTCTAACTCTTTAGAAGCTTTAGTATATTTACTGGACTCGAAATATACGTGCGCAATATCTCTAATACTAGGATAGCT